ATATACCTACTATATGCCCTATGTGCATTCTGAAGGATCCTTTGAATTCCCTTACAAGGCCTATGGGCCCATATTAAGATTAGTTCTAAGTTGGGTTATAAGCGATTTATGAATGCGGATTGGTATGGCCATAGTTGCCACAAGTAGAAGGCGCGAGATGTATTGCCATAGTCATGTGAGCAGGGGCCCCACAAAGGCATTGTGCAGAGGTGTAAGGGGTTTCCAGCTTCGGGGATTTTATCAGGTAGTTATCAAGACCATGATTCTTTGTGACTTTGCCCTTTTCATACCGCACCCTACACTTCTGGGCTCAAGACCTGGTAGCTGAGTGGATGACACTTAACCTCCTCGGGCATTAATAACCTTAAATAGTAGTTTCCATTTTGTTTTCCATTATTATCCCCACATGATCCTAATCTTACCAAGGGCTTTCATACTGAGCAGGGTAACTTTTTGAGGGGCCAGGAAACTCAGCAGCAAGGGAAACGGCTTCAACTTCGTCTACTGTAGTGGCTAACATACCGGAGTGGAGAATCACATAGCAGATGACATGGACATTGGGATTATACAGGGGTTTTTTTGCGATGTTTAAAAATGTTTATGGTTCTAGATCCCGGTGGCCCATCAACTGAGCCTTAACCCACCTGAACTGAGGACACAGTCGCAGTTTGAAAACTCTTTACCTGCGGCGATGCTCTGCAAAATTTTAAGAGGGTCTTTGCTAGACATGTTTCTCTTCGGAGCCTTGTGGGCCTTAACATGGATAGCCTTGTACTGTAAACTTTGGGGATTCGTGTGGTGTATCGTCATGACGGCTCACTTGCCTCAGGATACACGTCAGAAGACTCGATGTAGAGCGTTCGCAGCTTTGTGATCCACCAGTGCTTCTCTCCCACAAAATACTGAGGAAAACCTTGAACTCTCACCCCAGAACCTCAAACCCTCACCCCAAAACCCAGGCCCCCGATTCCCCCCCTTAACCACACTGCAACACCCAATGCAGAGCTCCAGTTTTCCTGCTGTTGAAGTTACACAACAGGGGAACCTTTTATAATGGACCTGCAAATATGGTAGCTTCAAAGGGTTTAGGGGCTAGGGTAAATCCTCACTACTATGTAGGCCTTGTTATAGGAGCCTACCAACAAGGAACCCCAATCTCTAGAAACACCTGTATGCGTGAGCGCACTGGAATGTGAACTAGGACTACTTCATGTATTTCTCACACGGGAAGGCCTTTTGCTACAGGGACCTCCACGAAGACCCCAATTGTTTGATAAGTCCTCTTTAAGGCTTGAGCTTGCTGCGCGGAGCTTAAAATGCAACATCAAGCCGAATCAACCCTGATGCCCAGGAATACCAGCAATTGTAATACATGCAAGATGTTTTATCAACACTTGTAGTGAAGCCAATAGTGAGAGTGACCGCCGTGTCGTGTAAATCATCATGGTACCACCTGAGAAAGTAACGGACCCCGATGCAGCTGTGCAATGTCACAAGAATGCTGCTTAAGTTTATCGCCCTATACTGCTTATCGGCATGCTCATTTCGATGCCGATGTTGATCGTGATGGTGCTTGATGGTGGAGCTGACATGGACTCCGTGCACTGTGACGCCGCCTCATGGGTCCCAAAATACCCCTGTTCAAATTCGTACGCGTGACCAAGGAAGTTCGTGTCTGCTGGCGAGGCTCAGGCGACCTCAAAGCCAGTGGCAAGCACGACCGCTGCTTGACCGGAATTAGCAGAGAAGTGGGTATCTCCAACTTTAAAGGTACCCTTCTGGTCCTCGTGCCCGAAATATTTATGTCCTTTTGGAACTCGAGAACCTGCTCAGCTGCTGCTCCTCTACTGTTTGGGAACTAGCCCTGCCTACAGTTCCCGTGTCGGAACCTTGAAGAACCCAAGGCAGATATAAGATATATCGTGAGAGATCTTGTGGTCAACTGCATTCACGTTTCTTCCGAGGCATTGTCAAGTGGAGACCTGCATCGAAAGTGAACACTACTACCATCCTCATTGATTGCGTTCTTGAGTGTCAGCCTGCCCTTGGTTTCGCAAGACCCAGCAAGTCTGTTTCCTAGTAACTAGTAAGTAGTAAGTAGT